CATAAATAAGTGAAAAACAAGGCTTCACCTGAAAAAGTATTGTCGTTACTATTGGGATAGTATTTGGCCAGCAGTTTAAGGATCCAAACACTCAGTAATATTGGCAACATTAACAAAAATAAGTAAATTCATTAGCGTTGCAGATATTAGGTTACTGTTTAACATAGAAAATCCTCTCTGTGGGGTGCCTACGTGGCTCAGTCAGTTAAGCCTCCGACTTTGGCTCCGGTCATGGATCTCCGAGTTGGTGGGTTTGAGCCCCGCGTCGGGCTCTGTGCTGACAGCTCGGAGCCTACAGCCTGCTTCAGATTCTGTGTCTCCCTCTCTCTCTTCCCCTCCCCTGCTCACGCTCTGTCTCTCTGTCTCTCTCTCTCTCTGTGTCTCTCAAAAATAAATACATGTAAAAAAAAAAAAAAAGGAAAGAAAATCCTGTCTGTATCATAGAGGTATTTATCAGTGTGAATTCTAAGTCCCCTAATCAATTGCTTGACTTACATTATCCTTTTCTCCTCCTTATTTAAGAACATGAAAAAGCCACATTGAGTCACTTATGAAAAAAGAATTAATTTATTCTTCTTAACACAGACCTCGGTAGTTTTACTGTCATTTCTTTCACATCTAATTTTGTCCAGAAATATTAATCACAAGTTTTTAAAGTGAGGCTCACGCAGAGTTTGGTGGATCTGCCGTGTTCCAGATGCCCACACTTCGTACCTCACTGTGACAGCCGGTTTGCTCACTGGACTAGTAGATACCAACAGTGGGCAGATACTTGGAGCCTCGGTAATAGTTTTGCAGCCAAGCCCTTCAGTCCTTATTTCTGCATCCTTGTATACAAAATCATAGTCCAAAAATAAAGTAGTATAGAACTCCAGAAGGTTCCCAGTAACCTCACAAATATAACCAATGCGATATGCAAAAAATGAATTAATTTGGTGCCAACATAGGTTCTCATGTGTTGGCAAAAGGAACCCTTTTTTAAAAATGAGAGTGTTTCGGGGTGCCTGGGTGGCTCAGTTGGTTAAGCGTCCAACTTCGCCTCGGATCATGATCTCACAGTTCGTGAGTTCGAGCCCTGTGTCAGCTCTGTGCTGACAGCTCAGGGCCTGGAGCCTGCTTCGGATTCTGTGTCCCCCTCTCTCTCTCTGCCTCTCCCTCACTCACACTGTGTCTCTCTCTCAAAAATAAATAAACATTAAAAAAATTTTTTCGGGGTGCCTGGGTGGCTCAGTCGTTTGAGCGTCCAACTTCGGCTCAGGTCATGATCCCACGGTGTGTGGGTTCGAGCCCTGCGTCAGGCTCTGTGCTGACAGCTCGGAGCCTGGAGCCTGCTTTGAATTCTGTGTATCCTTCTCTCTCTGCCCCTCCCCCACTTGTGCTCTGTCTCTCTCTGTCTCTCAAAAACAAATAAGTGTAAAAATAATAAAATATTTTTTAAATGAGAGTGTTTTATCTCTTGTCAAAGAATAAAACTAGGAATGGGGCACCTGGGTGGCTCAGTCGGTTGAGCGTCCAACTTCAGCTCAGTTCATGATCTCGTGGTTTGTGAGATCAAGCCCCGCATCGGGTTTACTGCTGTCAGACTGTCAGTGCAGAGCCAGCGTCGGATCCTCTGTCCCCCTCTCTGTGCCCTTTTGCCGCTTTCACTTTCCCAAAAATAAATATTTTTTAAAAAAGAATAAAACGAAGAATAATCAGTGCTAAGGAGCTAATGAGCCATTTCCAGACTAGTTATTTTTAATGACTTTATGAACACTTATGTATTGAGATCTGATTCTGCTTTGCTAAAAATTATTTTTAAAAATAACAAAAAATGACTGTCAGTGCTAAAGTGAGTTTTCAGACATTTTAATTTCATATCATACTAATTGTTCAACATTTTAGATTGAGTATATCAACCTGTACATAGGAATTTTATTTCAGAATATGAGGTGCTTAATAAGATCATATTGGCTAATTAATTGGAGGGATCAGAATGAAACAGTTAGCAAAGGTTTTATATTCTCAGCCTAAAATCAGTGCTTAAATATGCCCTGGGGAAGCATTACATGTTCTGGGCAGTGACGTTCCAAACACTCATGGTCCCAGGCGACACCCAGCCTGGCCGTGGGATAAGAGGAAACATCTGTTCGTACACACATTCCTGTGCGACGGATGATTATTAGGGACTTGTGCACATTCGAGTATCCAGTCATGTATTAGAGGTCTACCAAAGCACTTTTGGAAAGGAGGTATGTAATAGGGCATTTGTTTGCATTTGCTACCTGTGTGTGTGAAAAATTCTGTGCAAAAATGCGTGCCTTTTAGGCATACGTAGGTGAAAAGTACCTGTCTAAATGAATAGTGTTATTTAAATTTCCCTAAAAATGCTTACTCTGAAATGAATCTATTATCAAAAACATCTCATGATTATAGATATTTAGGTATTATGTATTTCTTAAGGAATCTGTGCTTCGCAGGAATTTAGGCATTAAGTTATATATAAACTTTATATCAAGCTGCAAGTATTTAGGATATTATGTTTTAAGTACTAAGCATCCTTTTGGGTACCTAAATATATGCCAAGCATAAGTTCCTTAAGAAATACATAACACCTAACTATTGATTGACATCAGTACATATTTCCAATTTATTAGCTCTGATAATAGTTTAGGTTGTAGGAGACAGGGATCCTATAACAATAATTACGGCTTCTGTTCCCGGTACTAACACTGTTACCAATAATACCGTTATCAGCTAATATTTCTTTAAACTCACTCTATTGAAAGCACTGTCAAATGCTTAAATCCACGAATACATTCAGTAGTCGTAATATAGCAACGGTCATTAACTTCATCCCGAACTCTTGCAACACTCAAAGTATACCGCTGTCATTATTTCCACTTTAGAGATGAGAAGATGGAGATAAATTCTTCTCTACCAAAATACTTAAAACATCATCCAGGATTTAAGGCAAAGATCATGAGGATTTGTACAAAAACTAACACGTGATCCACTCCATTATTTTTCAGAGATGTTAGAAAGGTAGATATTAGCAGATGTGGTTCACGTGGCCTTGCACTAGGTCCAGGGACCGCTGCTCACCTCCCGAGGGACAGTAACAAGCCTGGAGTGTGTGTTCTCCTAAGATGAGAGGGAATGTCTAAAGACCTACTGAAAAGTGTCAGTTTCTGAACCTGAATGACTCAAGCTCTTTTGAGTATTTCACTCATACATATTTGATAATAATTTAGGGGCCATATTTTCTCAGACTTCAAAAGGAAATTTTTCGTACATCTAAAAATATACTTATTCATGTGAAACATATATTAAGTACTTGCTTCTTGCTAAACACTCTGCACAGCCCTTGATATTTTCACAGCAACAACAGCAGAGTGCCACATGAATTTGGTTATGTATAGAAACTGTTCAGTCTACATGTATGTACTGATGAAGCTTTTCACTATGAAAGTGACACAGAGTAAAAAGATAGAACCCACTGCTGTTTCTTGCATGTGGCTTACAATTTCCACTAAACAAAATGCAAACTTTCAGAGGAAATAGAACATTCTGGAACTTCTTATTGGTGTGCATCTTTTCCCATATTGCTGTGTCAAAAGTCATTTTTTTTTCTATTGCCTATTGACTACCTTAACCTACTGCAATAGTGCCCATTTAGAACTGACTTTGTATTTTTTATGTCTGCACTTTGCTAAAACCAACCTACCTGCTGTCTTTCGGCGTACTCCTGGCTAATCAAAATTTTAGTGTTCCATTTTACTAAACTATGGGTAAAATATTGCCTACCCTTTAAAATTTAGATCAAGTAAAGCATGAGCAACTCAGTTTCTCTTTCATATTCATCCATTGAAATCCATCATTTGGAAAACTGCCTGCCCTCCCCTATGGCCCAAGAGTGAGGGAAAGAAGGAAAAACAAACAGGTAATCTCCTAGCTGAGTCCATTCAGGTCAAATCAGGACCTTCATTACTTGAGTAACTTCATTACTCGAGACAGATCAGGAGTTTCTTTTAGAACATGGCGCTCTGTTGTGAATGAAAGCATACAAAACCCATGGGACCCAATGCTTGCTCTCTTGTAGTATACAGTCTAAGGGAAACTACAAAATTCAGCATATGGAAAGTTAACTTGATAATTCAATCCACAGGTTTATCTTGGGGGTTCCATGGTCCCTTTTTCTGTTGCATAGCAGGCAATAATATATCCTCCCATTAATTCAAAGTTGTCTAGACTCAAACTGTGTAAGTGACTATTTTCTGTTACGGATTGGAAAACGTAGGTACACGAACATGAAATGTATAATCTTTCCGTTTGGGTAAATGAGGACAGAATGGACAGGAAATATCACAGAAAGATTAAGAATCAACCTTGGATACTCCAGAATTGAAAAAAAAAAAAAAAAAGAGATACTGAAAAAAAGGGAGCTGAGAAAATACTGTCATACAGTTGGACACACGAGCAGGGATAATATAATTATTGATTCTGTCACCACAGAAATTTTGCTTCTGTTTTATGAGCAAACATATTCTATATAAGTCTGTAACTTGAATATTTCTTCCCTGGTAGCAAGGTGCGTTGAAGACACTGAACAGCCTTCCAGTATAAATTATTTCTGTCTTTGATTAGGTCCACTACCTTATGGTTCTGTCTGCCAACTGGGCTTACGTGAAAGATGCCTGCCGGATGCAGAAATATGAGGACATCAAGTCCAAGGAGGAGCAAGAGCTTCATGACATCCACTCTACTCGCTCCAAAGAGCGACTCAACGCATACACATAAATAAGCCCTTCCAGTCCTTTCTGCCATTCAGATGCATTGGTGTTTAACTAAGGGCCATCCAACCATCCAACCTTTTGAAAAATAAAATACAGAAGTGCTTCTCATCAATGATATGTAGGGTGACTTATGAATCACCTGAACACAATCCTTTGTTGTTGAGCACCTGGTTTCCTAATTTGTTAAATTGGTGTGATCAGATCTCTTCTACAAGCTCCTATCCAGCCTTTTCCTTTTTTCAGTTTCTCAAACTCACTTAATAATTGCGTAAGATTGAAGATACTAACATTGTCACATGCAGAGATGTCTTTGATTTTTAACCACTCCCCATGTGTTAATACATAACACCTTTTGCATTATTTCTTATGTTTTGAGAAGAAAAATAGCTTTTTATACTTTTTAGTTTTGATTTCGGTAACTAGTTTAACTACAGGTAACCTTCAAAGGGACCACTGTACATTATGAACACTAGACAGATGGTACCATGATGACTCTTCTTGTAATATGGAAATCCTGTCTGGAGGTCCGGGACCACGTCACGACAGGCCCTGGTTCATGTTCTCATCAATCTAAGGTGCAATTTCTAAATTTGTAAGAGTAGGAATAAAAAAAAAAAAAAAGTGCTTCTTATCTTTGTTAACATTGTATTTTTTTCTTGATGTACTTAAAAGGTATTTCTCTCTGATTACTCATGTTTCTGTTGTGAGCACGTAGAAACAGTGACGCTAATGCATGGCTAGCTGCCTTTTTAAGATTGTGACACCAGACTTACCTTTTCAAGTTTAGTATAGAGACAATTTTAATGGAAATGACTACTGTGAACTATTGAAGAATGACCTCTTTGTGATTTAAGCTGTGGCTGGATTGGAACTTTTAATATGCTAATGTGGAACATTAATTACCTTTATGAAGGTGGTATATTAAAAATAAGCACACTAACCCCTCGGAAGTTGTTTTACCTACTTTAAAATGTTTTAACGGATTGCACCTCTGTAAACTATCCCTCCGATGTATATGATATATTTGAAAAGGCTTCCATTAATATAATAGTTTTGCTTGCAGCCTTCCGATCTATGTTGGTTTACCTGTAGCGTTTTTTAAAGCGTGGTCAGCGGCCACTATAGAATGTATCCCTCCCGAGTGTAGTGATATATCTGTGTTTTTATTTGAAGTCATTTTAACCAAATGTTCATTCATAATCATTTATAAGAAGTACCTATATCAAATGAATAAAAAAAAAAAAGCAATCAGTATTACTGGACCAAAACTGGTGTTTGTTTTAACCTTGACTCTTCTTTTGATTATTTCTAATGCTACAAGAATGCTGTAAAGTGTCTTTTACAATGATGTAGCCCTGACAAGACATTTTTGTCAGTGTATAAAAATTAGGTAGTATTGTGCACTGATTTGACCATTGTGAAATCTTTTCTCAGTGTAAGTGCATTTCTAATAAAATTTATGAGTGAAACAATCTTTGTACAATGACCACTCATGCATCATCCGTAATTTCACAAGTTCTTGTAGTAGGTAGAGGGGTATTATTAGGGTTATCTGTGGCATGATTATGCATTCTGTAGTATAATTTAATTAATTTGGGGTTTTGCTTCTTTTCTTTTTTTTACACGTAGATTATCTTACTGGTTCAACATTTTTTCTGATATAGGCAGTATTACAGATATTCAGCAAAAGTATTAATGGGCTTCTTTAAAATTCTATCTTATAGTGTTTCAGTTCTGTGTCTTAACAGTTTGTGATGATTTTTACAACTGTCTTTTAAACTTATGTAATGATGTTGATGCTTTTGGCTTTTTTTTTTCCTGGTATTAGAGTTTGTATTTTCACAAAGAGTGCTTTGTAGCAGGCATTACAATTAATCTGTTTTGTACATAAATGTGCCAACAGCTCGATGGTGGCGTTTTTGAAATGTAGAACGAAGTGCTTGCAAAATGTAATAAATACACTTGTGTACTTTGTGTACTTATTATTAGTTTCTGCAGTGTGGTTTTTTGTGTGTGTTTTTCTTTGTTTTGTTTATTCCTCTCTCCTCTGTGTGTACCCTCTTTCCAGATGCAATGGACACTGTCGTCATAGGATGCTTATGACCTCAGTTGAGCTGACCTAACCTTGAACTGAAAATTCTTTGCGTGACATACAGCATAGAAAAGCCAGAGGGTTGGGGAGAGGGCGAAGGTGGAAAGATTTCGGAGGCCATTTGGTTTAGCAAATGATAACGATGCCCAACTTCCACTATTTCCTTGCCTAATTTCTATTGTTTTGTGTTTTCTTTAGACCTTCATAAACTAATAGAGACACAAAAAAGGCTAATTCAATTCAGAAAGAAAAATGATTTCTTGGTTCGCTTCAAACTATCAAGGTGAGAGCAATTAAATGGAAAAAATATATATATTTTCTAGGCTTTTTGTTTGTTTTGGTTGTAACTTCTTCTGGCCAAACTAGAAGTGATGGCAAATTAAAAATAATAAGATAGTGATCAAATAAAAATCTTAATTTTCAGAAGACCTAAGTAATTGTATTAGTCTTCAATTATTTATGTATTATTATGAATGGCGACTTGAAAATGTCATGCACTTACATTACAAGTATCTACGGTAATTATAAGCAGATCTGGACAAAATGTCTTATGTTTTAAATAGTCACTTTTAAGACAATAAGAAAATAATCGTGTATCTAAATCTTATTAGATGACAATTTTTATTCTTTTCAGGGTTTATGAAATTCTTAAAATAGCAAGAAGAAAATAAAGAATTATATGTTAAAGATTATCAGCATGAACAAAAATTTTATGCAATAATATTTTTATTTTTTTCAATGTTTGTTTTTGAGAGAGAGAAAGTACAAGCTGGGGAGGAAGAGAGAGAGAGAGATTGAGAGAGAGAGAGGCAGAGGATCCAAAGCAGGCTCCATGCTGTCAGCACAGAGTCCGAGGTAGGGTTTGAACTCACGAACCTTGAGATCATGATTGGAGCCCAAGCCCAATGCTTAACCTACTGAGCCACCCAGGTGCCCCGCATAATAATGGTTTTCAAAGAAACTGATCATTGTGAGATAATTATATTTTTTGAAAACTTAGAAGTCCATTTCTGTTTGTGAAAATACACATTTATCCTTAATTTCCCTTTGGGCATTTTTTATCTCCTAGCTTTATTGGACTATAATTGACAAATCAGCCCTTTGGAATTTATAAAGCTAATGTGAAGACCAAGGAAATTACTCACTTTGAGAAGAAAATGTGTGTCGGCCAGCTTTGGCTTGGGTGAAATCCGTTTACTTCTTGATGTTAAAACTTAGAAATGGCAGATTCTGATTTATTCACCCAAAGGTCAAGTAAAGTTGTCTTGGTTTTTATTTTTGCCTTTTAGACGAAACAGAAAGGTATCATCTTAAAGTATGTTCCATCCAAGTAACTCAGTAGTTTACGTGTGCTTAACATGATGAAACTTGATTGAACTATCATACCTTGAGAAACACTCTTACGTTCTGTGAGCTTTTCAGACAGCAGATCATTTGAAGCCCGTGGAGGCAATCCTACAATGTACTGGCTCAAATATGACCTTCCTACTGACTTAAGTAAAACCCCCGCACCTTGAGTGTTTTCTCACAGAAGCAAGTTTTACCTGTTTGATCATTTTAGATTCTTTTGCTCTTTTCCACAAAATTCCAACATAGCTGAATATTGGAAAGAACTTAGAAAATGCAATACGTTGAATTGTTAAATTCATTATTAAATGAATTAATGAAATAAAATATTAAATGAAATAATACCGAAATGAAATAAAATTTACCTAGACCACTGTATTTTTTTAAGTTCATTTATTTATTGAGAGAGACAGAGAGAGAGAGAGAGACAGAGAGAGAGAATCCCACGCAGGCTGCACACTGGCAGCACAGAGCCTGACACGGAGCTCGATCTCACAAACCATGAGATCATGACCTGAGCCAAAATCAGCAGTGAGATGCTTAACCGACTGAGGCACCCAGGTGCCCCTAGACCACTGTATTTCTAACCTGTGGAACCCCCTAGAGAAGGAAACATCAAACAAAATGAAGCAAGTAGACGATGGGAGGATACAAAATAGGAAAGAGAAGAGAAGCAAAAAATTCTGCTATTATACTTGGACTAAGAGGGAGAAAGAAAAGAGCAGAGTTGTTGGAAGATATATATTGCCTGGGGGTGGGGAAATGGAATTTTTGGAAAGTAAAAAATACAAAAACCAAAGATCAGTCCAAGTAACAGCCTACAAAATTAAAAATATGTATATGGAAAGTATTTGCGGCCCCAGCTATTATTTTCTTCAGCACTGTGTGCCCTCCACTCGATATACTTGAGCAAACACCCTCACCCTTCTGGCCTTGTAGAATGGAACACACCTTCCCCAAAAGCTGAGGTCCAGGCTCTAGAGGAGCTGATCCCACGAAGTTGCCCAACTTTGCTGCTCTGATTAGGAAACAGGAACACTGTTTGGCTTAAAAAAAAAAAAAGTGTTGCAATCTATTTGCCTTTTTGTTGTTTCAACAATTATTTCTGTCTCTTGGGGGCCGCCCTGATGGGGACGGTGGTATCCCAGGACAGCTCCAACTCTGTGAGTCAACCCCTCTGAAATGTGGACCTTGTAGGTAAGCCCCAGACTTCTTGTATTGATTTTTTCAGCATGCCTAGAAAGTCTGATACTTTTTTCTCGGAAGGATTTGCACAAGTGTCACAAATAAACACCTCCATGTTGACATTCATTTGTTAGTTGACATGGCAGAGAAGGCTCAGTTACAGGATCCAATAGAAATCTAGTGATAAAATAAAAAAATTCATGACCTACTTCTGTGCTATCTATCAATGAGCGTTTAGAATTGGCAAGTTTCTTGAGTTTTTTTTTAGATCTTTTTTTCAGTTTTTTACCACTGACATTGATGAATCTCTATACAAAATGTGTTAATTGCTTTGAAATCTCACATAAGCAGGCATACAGTATAATCTCTTCGATCAAACT